GATGTGTGATGAGTCAGTGTTGGAGTGTGATGAGTCAGTTTTTATTGCACATATTAACACTTCAACTTCTTGTCCTTTCTCTTTCCAGCTGCAATCGAGGCTTGTCTGGGTCACTTGCTGAAGAGAAGGGCAGCTGGTTTTCTCCGCAGTGACAAGATCGCTGCCCTCTTCACCAAAGTCGGCAAAGTCTACGACACCGCTGGCGAGGTTTGCCGCAAAGTGCAAGAACAGCTGCAGCAGCAGGCTGATCTCACCAGGTTGGTTTCCCACAGATCTCCCCAACCCCTCCCTCCTGTACTAAATTTTTTGAAAATAAAACCTATGCAAGAGTGAGGAAGAGCTCACTCAATGCTGTTTAAGACCCAGCTTTAGTATCATGTTTAATTTTTATTTCATCATTTAATGAGTGGAGCATTACCACCATGGCCCATAATAATAAATGTGTTACATGTTCAAGTGCTGGTTGAATTTCAAAAAGTTACAATAGTCCTGCAAATATGAAGAACAACAAAGATTCAGATTTTCCCTCACCAAAATGTAGCCTAACTTTGGAGAGTTTAGCCCGCTTGCCAACAAACTATAATTACATGGTTGGTACATATGGATGGATGTGTAACCGATGCTTGGCTGCACTCTGCTGCAGCTGGCTGGTTCAAATAGTTTTTTCTGCGTTGTGTTTAATTAGCAAGGACAAGATCTTCATGCTATCGCAATTTTATTGCAGTACAAAAATAAGAACAGTAGGTCAGTTATGGCTCAAAGCACAATTCAAACAGCTTCATCAGTGAACATCTTGGAGAAACTCTGAATGAGTGCCAAAAATGGTAAGATAAATGGTTGTATTTATATAGCACTTTTCTAGTCTTGAAGACCACTCAAAGCACTTTACACTACAGTTTGCCATTCACCCATACATTCATACATACAGTGCATCTGGAGTAGCACTTTTTTTTTAAAAATTTATTTATTGTTGTTATATGGGGCAATTTGGGGTTCAGCATCTTGCCCAAGGACACTTTGGGATGGGAAGACTGGGAACTGAACTTCCGACCTTCTGGTTGGAGGACAACCGCTCTACCCCTCAGCCACAGCCACCCCTATGAAGATGTTCAAGACAGTCTCGGTGTGTTTCAGCACTCGTGTTTGACGTCTAAAGCGACCACTAGAAATTCCTTGCCGCGCTTGGTTCATCTCTCTTCTGTTCATGGATCTGATTCTCCTTCCGTTAGAGCGTAATAACGTAACGTACAGCACTGTGGAGGAGGGCACCCTTGAGCTATATTACCCAACCATTAAATAAATGAATTGTGGAAAGTGGAATAATAACCACATAACCTCTGTTACATTAGGTTGTCTAGCTTCATTTAAAACTGAGCCCACTATAGTCTCTGAAAAACAGCAATGCGTTTACCTTTTTTTTTACACAGTCAATATTTCAAAGTAATTAAAAAATGGACGCGTTCATTTTGACAGCACTAATAAATAAGTAAACCTGGCTTGCCCTTATGATAGCTGATGTTTCACATCAGCTGCCAGTTTTATGATTATCTTGCTGGTCCACGGCTGTGATATGTAACGCTATGCTACCACCAAATGGTCATTCATCTTAAACTGAACTGACCTGATGCCACTCTGCTCCATTCTCTTAATTGTTTGCACAGACACTCTGAACAGCTTTGCTATATCATTGATTTTCAGGCACCACAGCACGTAATGTTCTATGGTTTCAGCCTGTAAATCAAAAGTAGGACAGCCAGGTCGACCAGCATTGCTGCTGCAGCCCTGCATCATATTGCCCAAAGTCATGTCACCATGAAGCTCAAGTGGCTGAACTATCTCATTAAGGATTGTGAATACAACTTCATTTATTTCGGTGTTACTCAGTGCTGATATCATTCCTATTTGCTCAGCAATGCCCTCAATCACATGTAAAAAGGCATAGGAATTGACATTTGCCTCCATTTGTTCAGCTGCAGCAAACATTTCTACCATTGTAGCATGCAAGATTTAATTCCAAAAGTCACAGTGACCTGAATTTGCATCCTTGAAAATGTATAACGTCAGACCTAAATTAAATCAAATGTGACAAAAATATATATTTTTATAACAAACAGTGCAGCATCTTAAAACATCCACATACTGCCATGACCCCCACTAACTTAAAAAATGTTTGAACTCCATAGAAACAGATGTTTTCAACATAGTAAATGCATCACTTTATTCTGGCACTTTTCCCTAATCTCTAGAAATGGCAGTTGTAACCTCAATAACACAATCCTCATCAACTTCCAACCAATCTTGAATTTATCCTTTTTTAGGCAAACCCATAGAAAAGGCAGTTGTTAATCAGCTAACTCACCTCTTAAAGATAAATTAATGTTTAAATGGAATTCAATCAGGCTTTCGTGCCAATCACAGCACAGAGACAGCCCTTATAAAGCTTTTAAATAAT